CCCAGTGAAATAAAAACTTCCATTTGGAATCTTAAAAAATGAATTCCCTCCTGCCTGGTCTCTAACTCTACCCCTGTCCCACAACTGCCCTACAAAACAGCATGGACATTTAACAAAACAAAACAAACAAACAAACACAAAAGTAGCCACAGCATGTAACTTCCTGGGTCAAACATCTCTAATGGCTTCTCTTTGAACTCATAATTATTTCCAGTTGCTTTTATGTGGCCATGGCCTATGGTTTCTTACAGGGTCTGGCCCTCATCTACCCCTCTAAACTCACATCTTTCCCATGTTCTGATCCTGAATCTGACATTGCAGGACAGTTCTTATTTCTGTTCCTCTAACTTGCCAGGCTTGCTAACATCTTGGAGTCGGGATTCCATACCAGCCGCTGCATCTTTCTAGAATGGTGGTATTCCAGGTCTTCATAAAGCTCTGGGCCTGATCTCAAAAGGCTTCTTAGGTAGGCACATGCCGCTCTCACTCCCATCTTGTACTCTTTCTGCCACTATGTCACCTATTTTTTTTTCATTTAGAAGCATTTATCTCTTTATCAATTCATGATTTTTTAAAAGTTATGTGCTTCCTGTCTAACCCAGTGCCTAGAACAGTGTTTGGCCCACAGATGGTATTTTGTGTACCCACAGAAGGTATATATCTACTGACTATGAGTTTTGTATCTAATTGTGAAGTGCACTGAGGTTCAATTATTTTGAATTACCTAAACTTAAATAGAAATTGCTGATTAAAAAAATGCTTATGCTTAGCACTTTAATTGTCATCCTTTCATTGAAAGGTATACTTGAGAATAAAAAGCTATTATTTACCTTAATATATTTATTATCATATTTTATTGCAAAAAAAAACAAAACAAATCATTCCTATGAGAGGGTGAGTTCTTCTGACCTTGATGCTATTGCACTTACTGGGAAGCTCAGAAATCTCAGGTGACCTCAGGCTGTTCTACCCCCAGCTGGCACTGGGAAATCAGAGATGCTACAGAAGTTGTAAAAGGAGTTGCAAAAGGAAGGTCCAGCTTGATTTTGGGTCAGCTCTAAAGTCGGTGTCTGAGTCGGGAGGAATGGCTGTTGGGGCTTTCGGGAGGAAGCTCTGGAGACAAGCAAATCATATATTGCCAGGAACATTCCAGAAGCAAATGCAGGCCCTGAGGTGAATGCCCAGGAGGAATGCCCAGGAAGTCTCCAAATTCAGCCTGTGGATCCTAAAGGGCATGTCTGGAAAGATCTCTCATCAATGTAATAGAGTGAAGTGTGAGAGAGGAGCGGTCCTTTTCAGAAGAGAACTCTGACATAGCAGTGCCGTTGAAAATGGTGAGCCTTTTCCTAAGCCAAGTAAGCAGTCCCTGTAATGGTAGCCACGAAAACCTGAACTTTCATGAAATATGTCTGGGCATGGAGAAGGTAAAGGGAAGGAGCGAGTGGACTCTGGATCACCAACATGGCTGTAGGGCATATTAAAAAAATTCAACAAATGGTTCCTCTACCAGACTTCAGGAACCTAAATAAAAATCAGAAGCAGTGTCTGAACTAAGAGGTAAAACAGTCCACTCTTCCTCCCCAGGACAAATAAATATGGCCAAAAGTGAGACACTCAGCAGAGAAATAAAGTGTGTGTGTGTGTGTGTGTGTGTGTGTGTGTGTGTGTGTGTGTGTGTGTATTATTTTGGCTGCAGGACCTAGAGTTCTCTTTAGGAAGGTAAACACCTGATTTGCTAGAATACCTCAATGAGCCTGGGCATGGCATGGAATAGACTCATGAGGTGAAGTGCCTAGATCTAGAAATCTGCATAGCAGATAAGGGGGGAAGTTGGCTGTGGAACAGGGAAGCCCGTGGGAAAGCTCTAGCCAAGTCCTACGTCCTGGGGCTGGGAATTGAAAAGAAAGGGGCTGCTGAGGAAGGCGCTGTAGCCAAAGGACTGAGTAGAAGTGGAGCTAACTAAAGATGTGCTGCCATAGCCCCATCTCCTCTCTGGGGTTGGGTTTTGGAAAATTCCAGCAAAGGCTGTATTGTTTCACAGGATGTTGGTGCTGACAGAGAAGATGAGAGATTATGATCAGAAGTGAATAGGAAATGATGACAAGAGGGAGAAATCCTGAGGTGGGGGTAAGAGGTACCTGGAAAATATTTACTTAATTCTCAAAGTCAGGAGATTTTCAAATACAATTTACAATGTAAGTGTTTCAAAAATTGTTTTTAATATTTTGATATTACTGTCATATTAATCAAGAGCACGATATTAGACATAGACTCTAACTCCTTTTCCACACCTTCTTGGGACCTGTTTGGGGAGCAGGAATAAAAGAAGACTGCTTTCCATCACCCTGAAAATCATTCTTTGCTGTTTCCTACAATACCAGCAACTCAGAGATGAAGATAGAAACATGTTTTTTTTCAAAGATATACCGGTACAAAATATCCCTTGTTTTTCTAAAATCTCGCTGTACAATATCAAATCTTGCCAAAGCGATTTTGATGCATTACGGTTAATTTCCCTGCAATCTTTCAGAGGAGCATTTTGTGGAAGTGCACAAATCCACATGGGGGTCTGTGACCAGCTCTAATCACAGTCTGTCAAAATGAGTTCTCTATTTTCTCACAACAAATTTTAACCTATGCAGAGGATCCTACACACTGAGCATATGTAGCAAATTCTTTAAAAATCTAATTAAGTAGCATACGAAATTCATATGAAAATTGGATCACATACAATAAAAAGATTTTATGTAATAAAAATGATAGAATTGTCAAGTATAATGTAGCGAGAAACAGGGTCAAAAACAGAGTTAACTTAATATTAAACAAAGAATTTTAGGAAACAAGTAATGATAGTTGGATTAAAGAAAATTAATTTAGGAAATAAAATAGTTTGTAAACTAAAATCGTGGGTCCAAATGGCACTTAAATATATCATGTATGGCATCCAACTAATGGTGGATGAGAGAGTTGTTGCTGAAAGTGTAAAGCTCCCTGAGGAAGGAAAAAATATGGCTTCTTTTTCACTCTGAACTTTATGGAACATTTGCTGCCAAAGACATTTTTTAAATACCTCTTAGCTTGATTAGACCAAATGTCCTTCACAAAGTTGTCTTTGACAATAAGATGAACTGAGAACAATGTTCACTGTAACCATAAATAAAAACTAAACAATCTAAGTACATGTCATATCAACTCACTCCTGTCGTTCAATCTAGTTAATTCAGACCGAAGAGAGTTGTAAGTTTTCTCACAACTCTCAAACAGAAACTTCAGTTCCCCTCAAGAAGGCCTGCCTAACTTTAACACTATTTTAAAAATGACAAAAGCATGAGACCCCCTTGGGAGACAGGTGATTCCTGGTCCTTCACACCTGGGAGCTCTTGGAGTTTCCCTCAGTTGGATTCCCTTTTGCTCTGTGTCTAATATCAGTTGCTCACCTATCTGTTTCACTCATGCTGGTGTGCATGATTTTTTTTTTCATTCATAGTTTTTGCATCGATCACTGAATTCAGAGAAATAGGGGAAAATGACTTAGGAAGAGGTAGCAGCCTTGAGTTAGATGGACAGAAGAGACCAAGCTAAGAAAATCATTGTATAAATAACTTATTTAATCCTTGTTACTTTTCTGTAAATTGAGTTGCTATTATTATCCTCATTTCTGCAATTGAGGAAACAGAGAGAGAATATGTGAATTTGAAGGTTTTAAAAGCAAAAAAGTATAGAACAAGTATTCAAACAAAACCCTGAGCATCTTGCTCCAAAGTCCATTATCATTTTTTTTAAGAGAGAGAGAGAATTTTTTAATATTTATTTATTTATTTATTAGTTTTTGGTGGACACAACATCTTTATTTTATTTTTATGTGGTACTGAGGATCGAACCCAGCGTTCCACGCATGCCAGGCGAGTGTGCTACTGCTTGAGCCACATTCCTAGCCCCAAAAGTCCATTATCTTAACCATTGTGCTGAACATGTGCTAAGAATAAAAAGGACATGCTCACTAGTAACCATGTGGTGGGTTAGAGGCCAGGTCACAGAAACCAAGTATAGAAAATAAGATCTCTCTTCCATTTCTGTTTATTCATATCATGAAAGTTTGCAGGATTCTGTAGAGCTTATAGTAGGACTGATTTTAGATGCTGATGGGTAAAAACCCCTTATAAATATATGGAAAAGAGGGAAATAAACTCTTAAGAAAGAAGGCATCTTTATTGAATTTTTTAGTACATATAATCTCAATTAAGAACTTGCAGCTGGAGTGTTCTTTGATACTGCTTTGAAAATTCAGGAATTAACACTTGATATGATGTCAAATGCCACTAAGTAATAACCCTGTGTTTTTCCAACAGTATTTTGGTGGACTATAGTGCTCCAAAAATCTCCTTAAAGACCCTTTATCCTGGCTTCAACTCTACTTTTTATATGCTGCACAAACAAATTGAACTTTTATGCATGGTTTTATTTGGAAAAATGCTTTTACTTTTTAAAAATTCATATATGATCTTTATATATACATTGTATATATATAATACATGTACAAATGTCTGCATATATATTCATATACATATATTTACACACACAACCTTTTTAAAATCTTCTTTACACACTCTAAAGTATTTTGCTTGTTCATTTACTCATTCATTCATTTCATCCGGTATAAGGAAAACGATGTGAAGCTTCACCCAGCCTCCTGTATCAAAGAGCTTGTAATTTTAGGAATTGATCCAGTTTGAGGTCTGAAATGATTTTAAAGTGAATTATTGTCCTACACCCTCTTTCTAAGGCAATAAAGTCACAGCCACTGTGTCAAGACCCTTTCAGTGCTGCAAATCTTAATTTTTTTGTTCATCATTGACAAAAGAATCTCAGTGGTAGACACTCAGTTATATCAGTCTGGGAGAACTGAGAGAGGAAGATTTATACTCAGTTAAAATCAGTGCCAATAAAAGCAGAACACTGTTATTCTTCTTTAAACATGTAGGAATGGTTCCATTTCTTACCTCTAAAGCTTTCAATCTTTCCAACAGCAATTTCGTCTTTTCTTTGCCCTCATCGGTACTGCTGTTTTCACTCCTTGAATCCTCATCTACCACCATGTGAAGATCATCCAAAGCTTCCTTGTGTTTTCTCTCTTCCTCCGATGGCTTTTCCTGCAACAAGAAAGAAGGATTGTTTTCAATAATCTCCACTTGGAAAATAAGGAGTGGAAAATAAAGCTGAAAAGTTTGGAATCTCTATTGCTTTTGCATTCTTTCTGGGGTTGGGGTAGAGAAGATGTGGCTAAACAAACTCTTGAGTGGTGCTTATAAACACAGCGGATGTTTTTACTAACTCAGGCAGGACAAAACCATTGGGTCATCACCTCTGGAGGCAAAAGTCTCTGCCCAGTTGGAGAAGTGACAGAGCCAGTAAAGCCCGAGGTGGTATCATGCAGTTAATCCATTTTTATCTGAACAATGGAATTCAGCTGTTCTTTACACCAGGAAAAATACATCAACCTTGATGCCTCGAGATGTGAAAAGTTTAGTTTCTTAAAAAATAGGATATTTAAAGTCTCTGGACATGCAGCCATCTAATTAAAGGGAAAGCAAACTATCATAAAATATTTAAACCGTGAGTTCAGGATTCTAAGCTAAAACCCATTAGTCCCTTCAGCTTACTAATGACATAGCTCTGAAGGACCCCTTAGCCCCTTCTCTAACACTTTGGGAATTATAGTGTAGCCTTGGGGAAGACATAACATGTTGTTATCTGGTCTTGCTTCCCTGTGGGGAACTCCTCACCCAACCTTGTCTCTGGCAGTTTTTTTCAAAGTTGAGAAGTGTTAATTTGAGACTCTTGTGTGGCTCTGGTTTTTGAGGAAAAAAGAAATGTCAAGAGAATATCATAGGAACAAAATCTGATCCACTCTGTGATACATCAAGGCCCTTGTTCCATACAATCAAGTGAAATCATTTCATCACATTATTTACTTCTAAACTCACTCTGCAGAAATCTTTGCTACGATATAGCTGGTTGCCAACCATCTGGGGTGCAGTGGATTACCAATGGTGAGAGACTTCTTTATATTTAGTACTAAGCTAAGATCATGTGTAATACATAAGTAAAAAATATATGATTCTTACCAGTAAGATCTGCAGACTATCTACTCAGAAAGAAACAGCTACTGGTGGAAATGTAGGTAAGAAATGGCTGTTCAAACTGTGTTCACCAAGGTGCTTTGAAGGTTCGACAAATATTTTCAATTATTTTTGAAGATATATTATGAAGTTTGTAAAAAAAAGTCTCAACATACATATACATGTGCATATGTACATATGTATAAATGTGTGTGTGCATGTGGATATATACATGTGTATACATACATACACATATGAAACAATACAGATCACAAAGCCAGTAAGTTGATCCATGTGTATGTGTTTTGGGTAGGTTTTATAATATAAATTCTCCTGTCATATCTGCATATAAGTATATACACAGTTAAGGATGCAAAAGTCTTTTATAAAGTCTGGTCTGTGTCTCTGACCACATACATACAACATGCAAATGTGCTACAAGTGTACTACTAGTCAGAATTTCATTTCCATGATAAAGAAGGCAAAGCTTGTGCATATTATTAACAACTCAACTTTGAAAAAAAGAGGTTCTTTTACTTCTAAGATTGGGAGTCACTTATCTGCTCACTAACATGGGACTATGAATAAAACTTAAAAAAAATACTTTTGTCTACTCAGTGTGAACTATGTTTTTTTATTATTCTCTCAGCAAACTCAACTTGTATTTTATATGCACACGCCCATGATACCCTGTAATAACTAGGACTCTGAACCTAATTAAAACAAAGAAAAACACTGGTTTGGTAAAAGGAAACCCAATAGACTTTGGAATCTCACAGCCCAGATTTCAGATCTACTATTTAGCAGCTTGGCAAATGATCTTGGGTAAACTACTTAATTTCAATAAAAATTTATTTCCTTGTCTCCTAACTAAGACTAATGTCAGTGTAAATATACATATATAGTCAATTCTCATTATTACTGTAGTTAAATTCCACGAAGTGCCACGAACACTGAATTAGCAAATATTGCTCCCAGGGGAAACATAGCGTTTGGTTCCTACGGGCCTCTGGTCAAAACATTTCTACCAGCCAAGCAACACATAACCTCACTGCCTGTGTATTCTGGTTTCAAGACAGCTTGTTTGATATTGTTGTCTCCTTATCATCGAAACAGCCAACAGGACAATGACTTACACCTGAATACCTTATACCTGTTTCCACTTCACAGCCTTCTTGTGCTTAGGAGCACTTGGCAGCATTCACCACTATGCTTGGGGGCATTTTGGGAGGAGGTGGGGGTAACCAGGGATTGAATTTGGGGGCACTTGACTACTGAGCCACATCCCCAGCCCTATTTTGTATTTTATTTAGAGACAGGGTCTCACTGAGTTGCTTAGCACCTCACTCTTGCCGAGGCTGGCTTTGAACTCAAGATCTTCCTGCCTCTGCCTTCCTAGCCATTGGATTATAGGCATGTGCCACCATGCCTAAAAGCTTAGGGGCAATTTTAAACAGCAACATCACCAACGAAAAGCTTATAATGCAAACAACATGGTGCTAAGTAGACTGCAAACAGCACACTTTCTTATTGTATGAGAACTGAAGCAAGAAGGCAGAGGGTAGCATGTTCCACTCCAGCAGGGAAGCACCTGTCTACATGTCTGTGAACAACCATGAAAGCTCCACAAATATTAATTTTGGGGTTTCAAATAAATTTTAGTGAATAGATAAATTTGCTACAATAGGACCTACACAAAATGAGGATCTACTACATGTAACAAACACACTAATGTAACTAGGCACCACTTACATATTCTATGAAACTTGAAGATATAATTCAAGTTAGTATAAATCCTATAAGAGTATTCAGAATCCCCCAAATACAAGGATCATTGTACATTATTTTAAGAAGGGATGATCAATGAGGGCTGTGAGATCTGGTTTCATGGAAATGAAATGTGAGTTATACTTTAACAGAGATAAAATCTGAGTAGTTAGGCATAAGGTCGGAGTTTGGCCAATGAGAAAACTGAAAAGGTAACACCGGTCAGGAGTGTTTTCCTCATTGATTCAGGAGGCAACCATTTTGATTATAGTAGAGAAAAGATTTTGAAAGAGTAATAGAATAATAGAATTAAATTAGAGAGTAAAAGAGGGTGAGGATTCCTGGAAATGAGACAGGAGATTTAGATATCATTCATTAATTTATTTATTCATCTAACAAAAATTTAGGGAGCACTGATTATTGGTCATTTGGTGATCTAGGTGTGAGAGATATGAAAGACAAAACAAAGTCCCTCCATTCCAGGAAAGTATACTCTAATGTTCAGAAACATGACAAACTCCAAACCATATATAAGTAACATAACTGTGACTAGTGATAAATGCTATGAAAAAAATAAAACAGAATACTGTCTTGGGCAGTGGGATGGTTATGGACAATGCTAGGTATGGTGACATCAGATTAAGACTCTCTGAGCATGAGGCCTTTGGAGCTGAATGAGAACCACAGGAAGAGAGGAAACAGTGATGCAGTGGCCAATAGTAGGAGCAGCAAAGCAAGTGCCCCAAGGAGAGCTAGGCTCACCTTGCTGGCAAGGGGAGGGTCTGTGTTGGGCACCAGAATGATTACAACAGGAGGATGCACAGTAATTAAGACTGGAAAGACTGCTGGACCAAGGAGGATCTTACAAAGCACAGAAAGGAGTTTGGATTTTATTCTCAGTGCAGAAAAGAAGAACTGGAGACTAAGCAGGGGAGAGGTAGGCTCTGACTTACACTTTAGAAATACCATCCTAACTGCTGCAATGGAGAATGACCGTGGAGGGACTCCCTGGGAGGCCTTTATGTAGGAAGGAATAAAACCTAGGAATATTTGAAAGGTTTTGGTTCTGGATTAATTGAAAACAGTTCACATGGTAGATCTGAATCTGCCACGGATGATCAATGTGCAGCTTTTAAATTTCCGGACCTCGCTGGACAAATCATTTGAACTTTTTAGGTCTCAGTTTCCCCCATTGTAAAGTGGCCAGTGTGGACTAAATCTCCCTTTATTGTTAAGATTCTAAGCATTCACCCACTCAAGACAATTTTCAAAAAGGAAATGTTATCAGTACGCTCAATGGTAACAGAAATGACAAGAGAACAAAAAGAGGACCTCTCTGTTTTGAAATAAGAAGGTGGTTAGGGGGGCCTTGAGAGCTGTTGGACTGAAGGGTGACAATGGTATCCAAATTGTCCATGATTAAGCAAAAAGTGAAAAGGGAGAAGAAAATTGGGGCAATTTTCTCGAAGGCTTCTTTGAAAGTTTGGCAGGAAAGAGAAGATAATATAAAGAACTGAAGCTGAAGGGTATTTTAGAGGCAAACAGGAACCTTCTATAAGAGAAAGAAATGGAGCCATGTGAAGAAATAAACAGAACGGTGAGCACCAGAGATGACAGCAAAGGCGGGATCATAGGATGAGATCTCCAAAGCCGTGACAGCAGACAAGGAAGGAAAACTGGCAGAAGAATCAAGGTTTTAAAAATGCAGTTCCTGCCAAATATTCCATACAACTCAACGTCTCCATTAGCATTTCTAAATTATTAGGTAGCATCCTGCATGGGTCTAGAGAAAATAAGGACTTACCTGCAAGTAGTTTATTTGAGAAAAGCAGTAAATGCTAGTACAGAAGTAAAGAAGAGATTCACTAAAGGTAAGAGAGCATGTTACTAAGTGACTGAAGCCAAAACCCATGGAAAATTAAAGAAGGTGCAAACCACAGGTCTCAGAATTATCCCATTCCAGGCAAGAGGAAGGTGGGTGCTTGTGCACCATCCCCTTGAAATCCAGTGATGGAGGCCAGCTCCTAAGATGCTCACTGCCAGCATTTCTAGGCTGCTGTAGGCAGAAAGTTTTGTATATCTCTACCACAATCATGCCTTCTGACAAATACTGGCAGCTGGAAGCCAAGGGAGCAATCAGAATGGTTGCAGGAATGGTATGAGCTAAAGACAAAGAGGAGGCTTCAGGCCTGCTCTGGTATGTCACCACCCAGGGCAGAAAGCCATATCCTATCCATGTGCTACTTCAGACCAGTCATTGACCT